TGCACTCCAGCCTGGGCAACAGAGTGAGACTCCATCTCAAAAAAAAAAAAAAAAAAAGGGTTAAGGTGGCTGGGTGTGGTGGCCCACGCCTGTAATCCCAGCACTTTGGGAGGCTGAAGCTGGAGGATCACTTGAGCCCAGGAATTCAAGTCCAGCCTGGGCCACATGGTGAAACCCTGTCTCTTCAAAAAATAAAAAAAAAATTTTGAGATGGAGTCTCGCTCTGTCCTCCAGGCTGGAGCGCAGTGGCACGATCTTAGCTCACTGCAATCTCTGCCTCCCAGGTTCAAGCAATTCTCCTGCCTCAGCCTCTTGAGTAGCTGGGACTGTGTGGTGGCGGGCACCTGTGTTCCCAGCTGCCCAGGGGGGCCGAGGTGGGAGAATCACTTGAGCCCAGGAGGTGGAGGCTGCAGTGAGCTACAGTTGCACCACTGCACTCCTGCCTGGGTAACAGAGTGAGACCCTGTCTCAAAAGAAAGGAACAAAAAGGAAAAATAAAAGGAAAAAATAAACCTGGATTTTGTTTGTTTGTTTGTTTGTTTGTTTGATGGAATGAGACAATGTGGCAAAGCTCCCCGGCAAGGCTGGGCACATGGGAGATGCTCCACTGACTTTTTTTTTTTTTTTTTTTTGAGACAGAGCCTCACTCTGTCACCCAGGCTGGAGTGCAGTGATGCTATCTCGGTTCACTGCAACTTCTGCCTCCAGGGTTCAAGCAATTCTCCTGCCTCAGCCTCCAGAGTAGCTGGGACTACAGGTGTACACCACCACACCTGGCCAGTTTTTGTATTTTTTGTAGAGATGGGGTTTCACTATGTTGGCCAGGCTGGTCTTGAACTCCTGACCTCGGGAGATCCTCCTGTCTCAGCCTCCCAAAGCGCTGGGATTACAGGCATGAGCCACATATGTCTGGCCTCCACTGACATTTACAGGAGGCCTAGGATGCTGGAGTGACAGGAGGAGCTGGTGGGAATGGACTTGGGGCTCCAAGATTCCCCACTGGGCTCCTGGCTCTGCTCTCGGATGGAATGTTCTGCGGGGAGAAACAGAGACATAACAGGGAGCAGTCTCCTCTTACGGCTTGACAAAGAGGATCCGGAGAGGGCAGAAACGCGGGCCAGAAAGAGGGGAGAAAACCCAGGCTGGATTCAGGCTCAGACAGAACAGAAACCCGTGAGTATTGCAAACATTCTCCATCTGGCTGCAGCCGCGTCTGTAATCAGGCTGATGAGAAGTACTCACACCAAAAAGCACCCCTGGAAATAAGAGGATGCTTCTTATCAGGGGCCTTCCCTTTCTTTTGAGTCTTCCCGTATGGAATTCAGTGATGACTTTGGAGGGAATTTTGAGGAGAAAAGGCAATAAAAGTGATGGAGAGGCTGTCGGGCCTAATTATGAGGAGAGATGAAATGACAGCTTGGCTGTGGCACAGACCTGGGGGAGACGCGGCCTCATGCTGACTGATGCTAAGGGTCCAGATGGAAGGAGAAGTTGGGGAGAGTCTGGGAGGATGTGAGGAGGAGGAATGAAGTGCTATTATGAAAAGGAAGTGATAGGCTGAGGTTCAAGACGATTTCTGGGCCAAAAACCCGTTGAGGAGAATAATGGTCTCCCAAGGGCCCTGGAAACACTCCATTGCTTGATACAGTCAACGTTTTACAAGATCAAGTCTCAGGATCTATTCTGTCGGGAGTGACCATCTCCTCCCCAACTTGGGCGTTTCATCTCCAGGCTCTCTGCCTCTTTCACACGTTTGTGTGGGTTTGCAGCCTCGATATTCTGGGCTGTGGACAGGGCTCTGGCCCTGGAACACAGGCTGGGAGGAGAGTTCAGCAAAGAGGACCAGCACGCCTGCTTTCTGCTCCTTCTAGGAGAGTCTCAAATAGCAGATGGGTGGAAGAGCCAGAGATCATCTTCATCCCGCCAGGGGGCGAAGGATGAAGGAGCAAACAGATGAAGTGGGATGCTCTTGGAATATTAGGGGTAAACAGTCAGTGGGCTTCTGGTCTCTGGTCTGAGCTGAGCAAACGTTTGACCGGTTTCTTTTCTTTCTCTCTTTCTCTCTCTTTTTTTTTTTTGAGATGGAGTCTTACTCTGTCACCCAGGCTGAAGTACAGTGGTACGATCTCAACTCATTGCAACCTCCGCCTCCTGGGTTCAAGCGATTCTCCTGCCTCAGCCTCCTGAGTAGCTGGGATTACAGGCACCCGCCACCAATGCCCAGCTAATTTTTGTACTTTTGGTAGAGACGGGGTTTCACCATGTTGGCCAGGCTGGTTTTGAACTCCTGACCTCAGGTGATCCACCAACCTCGGCCTCCCAGTATGCTGGGATTACAGGCGTGAGCCACCATGCCCGGCCCCATTTGACTGGTTTCTCTTGGGACAGTTTCTTTGACTTCTGTAATCCTCTGTCCCATGGGGTCACGATGCCTCAACGCTTCTTTTTTTTTTTTTTTTTTTTGAGACGGAGTCTCGCTCTGTCACCCAGGCTGGAGTACAGTGGCCGGATCTCAGCTCACTGCAAGCTCTGTCTCCCAGGTTTATGCCATTCTCCTGCCTCAGCCTCCCGAGTAGCTGGGACTACAGGCGCCCGCCACCTCGCCCGGCTAGTTTTTTTGTATTTTGTAGTAGAGACGGGGTTTCACCGTGTTAGCCAGGATGGTCTCGATCTCCTGACCTCGTGATCCGCCCGTCTCGGCCTCCCAAAGTGCTGGGATTACAGGCTTGAGCCACCGCGCCCGGCTGCCTCAACGCTTCTGACTCGCCCTCATGTTTACCAATTTCAGGTCAATTGCCTCCTTTATCTATTCATTGTTAGTAGTTGAAGCCAACCTTAAGAGTGGCTAAACACATTCCAGATCTGGGGTTCATGGGAAAAGTTGGGGCTGGAGATATATGTTTGGGAGTTGTCACCATGTAGATGACGTTAGAGCCCTGAGTTGGGGAGAGCTCACTTACGATGTGAAGGTGGGTGGAGAAAACAAGACTCCAGTCTTGAGTTCTGCGCCAGCCAATCTTAGAGGCTGAGAGACTCGGGGAAGGAGGAAGAGGAGGAGGAGAAGGGAGTGGGCTGGACAGAGGATCCCAATGAGCACTTACAGAGCATGTACCACGTTCCAAGCACTGGGAGAGGGAGCTGGAAGACCCATGCCTGGCCCTCCAGTAGCTTCCGGGCCGTCGGAGGAGGCCAAGTAACAAACCGCCACCATCAGACTTGGCAACAAGTGCATTGAGGGGCTAGTTGCTGGGGCTTGGCAGTAAAGAGAGGTGCATCAGAACCCTACAGGGTATCCAGAGAGGGCTCCCAGAGCCTGAGACACTGGAACTGAGTCTCAAAAAACAAGTGAGTGCTGGAAAGGGAGGGGCAAGCATGATCCCGAGAGCCCACAGGAGAGGTGCGAACTGAGAACTGAGAACTGCAGTCGTTAGATGGGGGTCCATGCAGAGGGGCAGGGGATCCCTCATTGGCAGAGCACTGGGAGCCTTCTATTTGGGTTTAATTCCATGGGGCTGTGGCCACAAAATCAGGTGTCAGGGGTCAGCAAACTATAGCCTGCAGGCCAAACCCCACCTGCCGCCTGTTTTTGTACAACTTGCAAGCAAAGGACGGTTTTTACTTTTTTTTTTTTTTTGAGACAGGTTCTCACTCTGTTGCCAGACTGGAGTGCAGTGGTATGATCTTGGTTCACTGCAACTTCTGCTTCCTGGGCTCAAGTGATCCTCCTGCTTCAGCCTCCCAAGTAGCTGCGACTACAGGTGCACACCACCATGCTGGGCTAAATTTTTGTGTTTTTAGTAGAGATGAGGTTTTGCCATGTTGGCCAGGCTGGTCTTGAACTCTTGAGCTCAAGCAACCCTCTAGCCTCAGCCTCCCAAAGGGCTGGGATTACAGGTGTGAGCCACTGCGCTAGGCCAAGTTTGTGCTTTTCTTAATGGTTGGGAATATAAATCAAAAGAAGAACAATAGTTCATGGCTGGGCGCATTGCCTCCTGCCTGTAATCCCAGCACTTTGGGACACCATGGCAGATGGATCACCTGAGGTCAGGAGTTTGATACCAGGCTGGACAACATGGCAAAACCCCATCTCTACTAGAAATACAAAAGTTAGCTGGGTGTGGTGGTGCATGCCTGTAATCCCAGCTACTCAGGAGGCTGAGGCAGAAGAATCACTTGAACCTGGGAGGTGGAGGTTGCAATGAGGCGAGATCATACCACTGCAGCTTGGGCAACAGAGCAAGACTCCATCTCAAAAAAAAAAAAAAAAAAAAAAAAGGGTAGTAGTTCATGACCTCTGACAATGATATGAAAATCAAATTTCAGGCTGGGAGTGGTAGCTTACACCTGTAATCCCAGCATTTTGGGAGGCCAAGGTGGGCGGATCACTTGTGGTCAGGAGTTCGAGGCCAGCCTGGCCAACATGGTGAAAACTCATCTCTACTAAAAATACAAAAATTAGCTGGACATGGTGGTGGGTGCCTGTAACCCCAGCTACTCAGGGGGCTGAGGCAGGAAAATTGCTTGAATTTGGGAGGTGGAGGTTGCAGTGAGCTGAGATCATGCCACTGCACTCCAGCCTGAATGACACAGTGAGACTCCTTCTCAAAAAAAAAAAAAAAAAAAGAAAAGAAAATCCCATTTCAGTGTCCATATATAACGTTTGATTGGGACAAGGCTTCATCTGTTCAGAAGCTGTAGGCCGTGTGTGCTCTCCAATGGCGGAGTGGAGGATTTGCCCCAAGTGGAGGATTTGCACCGAGACTGGTGAACTGCAAAGCCTAAGCTTCTCACATCGAATCCTTTAGAGAAAAAATGGTATTTTAGACACCCAGTGGTATTTTAGGGACCCAGTGGCAAACAGGACAGACAGAAATTGGGGCCCGTGTGGTTTCCATCCTGGAGGGGGATGCCTGTCTCCAGCATTGCCTGTTTCTGAGGGCAGAGACCACTTGGATGGGGTTGGCTCCTGGTTCTAGGATTTCTCCTTTTCCTCTTTCCAGGAGTGGAGTCAGCTGTCACAAGGAGCCGGTGACCCTTAAGGCCAGGACCTGCCGGAACCTCCTGTGTTGCTGCTCGCTCTCCAGCCCTCTGGGAGAGGTGATGTGGGCCTCATGGGGCCAGCGCAGAGCACGCAGAGCACGCTCTCTGGCACACCGTTTATGACACGGTTGTCATGGGCTCCAGGCCAGGAAAAACACATACCTGCTTCTACAAAAGCGAGTCCTTCTCATGAGTGCACTCCCTCTCCCTGGTGGAGTAGCAGCGGGAACATCCTTTACCCTGAGCTGCATTTTATTGTTTTGTTTTTCCTTCAGGGACAAACCGTTCACTCAAGGGCAGGCACCAAACCTTGTTGTCTGGGGAGGGGAGGCCACCTCCCATGGCTCCCCTGCGGAGACTCACACGGTCCTTGGAGCTCTCCCTTGAAGGCTGTGAACAAAGATGGAGCGGTCCAGCCCGGGAGTTCATAGTTCCCCTTGGAGCCTCTTGGCTCGGCAGGCCTCTGACCTCAAGGTTGCTTGGCTGAGCAGGGTGCTCCCAGAGTGCTCCCTCTGTGCTCCTTCGTGTCAAGATATGCCTGTGTCGCTCCCTGAGTGGCCCGGCAGCTGGCTCAGGCTTGGCACCCTTGCTCAGCTGGAGAGCCCCTCCATCAGCAGAGGCAGCCTTGTCAGTGGCTAACAGCAGGGGCCTGGAGCCAGAGTGCTGGGATACAAATGTCACTCTGCCACTTAGCAATGGGGTGACCCCGGGCAGGCTGCTTAACCTCTCTGTGCCCTTGCATCTATAAAATGTGGTAATAATAGTGCCTGCCTCGTAAAGTCTTTATGAGAATTAAGCAACTTAGCATTTGTAACATACTTAGAACAATGCCTGTGTGCAGGCCAAAGCAGCTCTGTCTAGGACACTAACCCGCTGTGTTGACGTCTGATTAACACCAGTTCCAGGAATGCCTCTAAGATTTTTATTTTGTCTACTGCTCTTGTGTAAGAATACGTACTTATAGCAAATTCTGCCTTTAGGTCAAAATCACCTTTCAAAAAATATATTAAAGAATATAAATAGAGACAGGGTCTCACTATATTGCCCAGGCTGGTCTTGAACTCCCAGCCTCCAAAGATCTTCCCACCTCAGCCTCCCAAAGTGCTGGGATTACGGGTAAGAGCCACCATACTCAGTCCCAGAACAACCTGGACCATAAGCCCTGCCCTTAGACAGATTCATTTGGCATGCTTACCTTTCTCTACAATTGTCTTATACATTGCTTCCCTATTGGTGTATAAGCCCTGGGTCTGGGAGTGAATGGCGTAGGGATCCATCATCTTGCCCTGCGGCCGCCTGAAATGATAGCTTCTGTACCTAAATACCTATTAAATGTTCCTTTCTGAGGCTGGGTGCGGTGGTTCATGCCTGTGATTCCAGCATGTCGGGAGGCCGAGGCAGGTGGACCATTTGAGGTCGGGAGTTTGAGACCAGCTTGGCCAACATGGTGAGACCCCGTCTCTACTAAAAATACAAAAATTAGCCAGGTGCAGTGGCAGGTGCCTGTAATCCCAGCTACTTGAGAGGCTGAGGCAAGATAATCACTTGAACTCGGGAGGGAGAAGTTGCAGTGAGTCGAGATCTGGACCCACTGCACTCCAGCATGGGTGACAGAGCGAGACTCTGTCTCAAAGACAGAGAAAAAAAGTTCCTTTCTCAGAAAGAATTTATCAGCCTCTTTGTTCTACCTCTCAGCTCCCTTGGACTTTGGGGGTAGGTTTGCACAGATTTGCACACTGCAAAACAATGGTGGCACAGAATGTTCTATGTGTTTTTGTGACATAAACGAACAGAGGGTAGTCCTCAGAGGTACCCTAGCTCTCTCCTTCTCTCTGTTCCCAGAGCACTTTATGACTGTGTTCTTCTAGCACCTGGTTGTTCTGTTGTAGGGTCCAGGGTGGGCACTGCCTGAAATATCTGTGCCCCGTCCATTACCTGGCAGAGCACCTGGCTCAGTGTAGGTGCTGGGTAAATGAATGAATGAATAAGACACTCCCACCTTCCCCAAATTGGTAGAAAATGTTCCTGGAAAAATGAGTCCCTGTGAAGGAAGCTTTGACTGTAATTTCCAAAGGAATCTCAAAGCTGAGTCCATGTTTCCAGGGTCATCTATCACGGATGCTAGGTCTGGCTGGGAACTTGGAGGTTCGCTAAGTGAGCCCAAAGTGAGCGCGTGGCAGGGAGGGAAGAGTAGGTGCTTGTACGACAGGAGGGTGAAGGAGGCTTCCAGAGGACGAAGCTTTGGGCCAGCCAGCACCTGCCGGGCTGAGTACAGGAGAGAAGCCACACCTGCTGGCACTCAGCCAGTGCTGGGTTCCCCCGGGACAGTGTGGAAAGGGGGGCTTGTTTGTTCTTTTAGGCTAAGTCTTAGGAGAGACTAAGTTATTACAATTTTAGGGGCTGGAGCCGAGTGTGGTGGCTCATACCTGTAATCCCAGCACTTTGGGAGGCCAAGGCAGGAGGATCACCTGAGGTCAGGAGTTCAAGACCAACCTGGCCAACATGGTGAAACCCCGCCTCTACTAAATGTACAAAATTAGCCGGGCGTGGTGGCGGCTGTCTGTAATCCCAGCTACTTGGGAGGCTGAGGCAGGAGAATTACATGAACCCAGGACGCAGAGGTTGCAGTGAGCCGAGATTGCACCACTGCACTCCAGCCTGGGTAACAGAGTGAGACTCCACTTCAAAAAAAAAAAAAAAAAAAAAAAAAAAAAAGAAAAGAATTCTAGGGGCTGAGTGTGGAGCTGGTCCAGGGGAGGTAAATATGACAGTTGGCGCCAAAGCCCAGCAGCTCCAAGGGGCATGGAAAAACAACCTTTGCTCCCTGACAAGTCCACGGTGGCACCAGCAGGGGAGCGAGTCCACCCCAAGGAATCATAACTGGTCTTGCCTGCAGTTCGAAGGAACTATGCATCTCGGTCCTTTGGCTCAGGTCCTCTCTTGGTAGCCAGTTTCCAAGCAGTCCTGGGTCACCCAGCTTAGCCCCACCCATCTGTCCACACCTTAGCTGGCATCCAGAGGCGATGGTCAGGCGAAAGGCCTGACATCACTATCTTTGCTGGTCTCCAAGTTAGAATCAAGTGAGGAAGTGGGGGACAGTGGATGACCCTGTCTAACAGTCTCTGGGCTCTCACATTGAAAAACGAGAATGCGGCCGGGTGGGGTGGCTCAAGCCTGTAATCCCAGCACTTTGGGAGGCCGAGGTGGGAGGATCACTTGAGGTCAGAAGTTCGAGACCAGCCTGGCCAACATGATGAAACCCCACCTCTATTAAAAATACAAAAATTAGCCAGACGTGGTGGCATGCACCTATAGTCCTAGCTACTTAGGAGGCTGAGGCAGGAGAATCCCTTGAACCAGAGAGGCAGACGCTGCAGTGAGCTGACATTGAGCCACTGCACTCCAGCCTGGGCGACAGAGCAAGACTCCGTCTCAAAAAAAAAAACACAACAACAACAAAAACCCATGAATGCAGTCACTATGAGAGCATCAGACAGACTTTGGGTGGTGTTGAAAGGCCTAGTCAGATCACTGGGGCTGGGGGGCGACCTCCACCCCTCCTCCAGCTGTTGGTGTCAGAGGTCTCCCTGTGAGCCACTGCAGGCAAGGGAGCAGGGGAGCTCCAGAGGTTGACCTCAGCAGAAGCAACAGCTGATGGCTGCAGTATTAGAAATTGCATCCTTAAATATGGGACAGAATGGGAGCTGGCCACTTGCTTGGATAAAGGCTGCTGGCATAAATTTAAACTCTGTATCTTTAGAGAAAACTTGGAAAATAACCTCTTTTTTTTTTTTTGATGGAGTTTTTGCTCTTGTCTCCCAGGCTGGAGTGCAATGGCGCAATCTTGTCTCACTGCAACCTCTGCCTCCTTGTTCAAGCGATTCTCCTGCCTCAACCTCTTGAGTAGCTGGGATTACGGGTGCATGCCACCATGTCTGGCTAATTTTTTGTATTTTTAGTAGAGATGGGGTTTCACCATGTTGGTCAGGCTGGTCTTGAACTCCTGACCTCAGGTGATCCACCCACTTCGGCCTCCCAAAGTGCTAGGATTACAGCGTAAGCCACTGCGCCTGGCCAATAACCTCTCTTTTAAAACAGTGTTCCAGCACATTGTGTTCATTCCTTCATTCGACAAAGGTGAACTGAGGTCTTAATATGGCCCAAGCATGGTACTGGGCAGCCATGGCCAGATACATACCTTGCCCTGAAAAATCGCAGTGTGGCTGTGCTGGGGGCGGACGGGAGACACAGACAGATAACTGACAGGAACGTGAGGGCCAGTGCTGCGAGGAACCACACGTGGGGTTGTGGGAGACCCAGGAGGCTGCCTTCCAGATGGAGGAGAGCAGGGTGCTGAGTCAGGGAAGTGTTTTTGGATGGGGTCACGCCTGAATCGAGTGTGAAAGGATGAGTAAGCGTTTAGGGGCTGGGAGGGGCAATGAGAGTGTCCAGGCAAAGGAGACAAGAGCAAGGACCCTATGGCAGGAGGAAGTGTTGTGTGCAGGTATGCATGTGTGTATATGTATGTGTATATGTGTGTGTATGTCTGTAGGTGCATATGTGTGTGTGTAGCGTGTGTGTATGAATGTGTGTATGTGCATGAGTATACATGTGTATGCGTGTGGGTGCCTGTGTGTGTGTGTCTAGCGTGTGGGTATGCTTGTGAGTAAATGCATGTGTATATGCGTGTGTCTGTGGGTGCATGTGTGTGCATATGTGTGTGTAGCATGTGTGTATGCATGTGTATATGCGTATGTCTGTGGGTGCATGTGTGTGCATATGTGTGTGTAGCATGTGTGTATGCATGTGTATATGCGTATGTCTGTGGGTGCATGTGTGTGCATATGTGTGTGTAGCATGTGTGTATGCATGTGTATATGCGTGTGTTTGTGGGTGCATGTGTGTGCATATGTGTGTGTAGCATGTGTGTATGCATGTGTATATGTGTGTGTTTGTGGGTGCATGTGTGTGCATATGTGTGTAGCATGTGTGTATGCATGTGTATATGCGTGTGTTTGTGGGTGCATGTATGTGTATATGTGTGTGTAGCATGTGTGTATGCATGTGTATATGCGGGTGTGTATATGTGTGTATACGTGTGTGTGGGTGCATGTGTGTGCATATGTATGTGTAGCATATGTGTATGCATGTGTGTATATATGTGTGTATATATGTGTGTATACGTGTATGTGCATGTGTGTGCATATGTGTGAAGCATGTGTGTGTACGCATGTGTATATGTGTGTGGGTGCGTATGTGTGTGTGTATGTGTGTGTGTCTGTGGGTGCATATGTGTGTGTGCGTGTGGGTGTGTCATGCATGTGTGTGTGTGAGAAAAATTGTGGGGCTGGTGTGTTAACTGAGAGGCAGGGGTACAAAGCCTCAAAGGAGAGGAAGGACCCTTAAAAGGGAGGTTGCATTTTATTCCACAAGGAATGGGAAGGTGCCAGGGCAGAAGAGTGAAGGTGGAGTCCTGCTTGCCACAAATATTAATCAGGTCTCTTTTAGTTGCAAATTACAGACTAGTTCCAACTAACTTAAGTACAGAAGGTATTAATGGTTTTCAAAAGTAAACGGCCTCTAAGGCTAGTTCTGCCTTCAGGCAGAGCTGGATCCAGGAGCTTAGGTGATATTGACAGGAATGGGCCTCCCCTTTGTCTCTGCTTTCCTCCATGTATGTCTGATTCTCAGGTGGGTGTGCCCTGTGTGGCAGCAAAGGTGACTGCCAGCGACTCCAGCCTCCTGTCCTGCAGATTCAGCAGA